CAGACCTAAAATCATCTGAGACAATTAAATATTAAAGAAAAATTTGGCATTATGAATTATTTTAAAGAATTTTTTTCTACATAACTATGGTTTTCGTTCATTTCAATAACAAGTTTTTGAATATTTTTCCAAAGAATTTCAAATATGTTGAAGATGATGAAACTAGCAACTCTCTGCATAGAGTGTGATATTAAACGAACGAATTTCATTTATTCTATGATATTATAAAGATATCGAAGAATACTTCGAGATTGTATATTGAAATCAATACCAAACACTTGATTTCTTTGCATAATTAAAGGAAATGTTACATTTTAAAGATCTAAAGTATCATTGTGGATTATTGAGATTTATAAATGATCATAAAAATCATGTTATTAACTATTCTACTTTAAAGGAACAATATTTAATATCAATTGAAATTAATTATTTTGGATATAAGATTATCTTAAATAAATCAATTTTTAAATTGAAATTTGAATAAAATGATTTTTGTTTTGAGAATATAATTGATATATTAGGCAATCAATGAGAATTGTCAATGTTTAAGTCTATCAGCAGGAGATCTATACATATTTCTTCTGTTCAAAGCTTATTCTCAATTGATCGATCAAGTTAAGAGTCGTTCATTCTCTATTCAAATCTTTTGATCTCTCCTCGTATAACCAAAAGTGAAAAGAAAGAAGAAAAGTAATCGTAGTAGTGATCATAATATATAGACTATAGATAATTGAAATATTCTGTTGTCATGATCGACTTTGTTCACGGTAAAATTTTTATTTTATAAAAGAAAAATAATAATAATAATCAATATTTATTTTTAGCTGAAAGTAAACGATTAAATTTGGCAAAAAGTGTTAAACGTCGTTTTTCTCATCATCAACATGGATGGCGACAAAAAGAAAGTTTGTAGAAATTATTTAAAATTTTATTATTATTTATTATCAATTATTTAGCTATTCATCATATGATTATTTTAATTAAAATAATCTATGCTATTATTTTTATTTATTTAACAATTTCAACATGTCTTAATCAATCTGTTGATGAAGATGACAATGGTTTAAAATCAATTTTTATTCGTATATTGGACATATGGTATTCATTTTTGAGTCTTATTTTACTTCTATCATTACTTATTGATCGTTTAAAACGACAAAATATTATCTCATACAAATCGATGAATGCTATACATATGTTATTGGTTATTACTTTTATTATTTTTGTTGTTTTAGGTAAGATTAAAAAAAACAAAAAATCTTGATTAATTTTTCTTATTGAATTTCTTTTAAAAAGGTCATATTCAAGCTTTTTATCGTTTATGGTGGTTATCATCACCATTATCAAATAACTTGACATGTTCAACATTTCTTTCAATTGTTTTTATTGATATATGTCCTACATCAATTGTTATTTTCATGAGTATGGATTTATTGAAAAAACGTCGATCATGGCGTCATATTCATACTAATACTATTATTTCGAGTGTTTAGTTCTTTTTCATTTTTTGTCTATATTCTGATTAATTAAAGAAAAAAATCTACTCATATTTGTTATATTATTGATAACAAACCAGGTCACACTTTTATTCACATTACGGCTGATAAACTATGGTACTCACAAGAGCCAACAAGAGAATAGCCAACCGCTTGAGTATTAATTTGCGGCAGATCAAATGCCGATATAACATACATCATAACAGTGACATTTTCAGCATTAATTATTTTAATTTGTATATCAACAAATGAATTTTCACGTTTTTATAGTTATTCATCAATACAATTCTTTTGATATTGCTGAACATCAAATAATTAGAGTAAAACTTGCAAAATGACTTAAAAAATTATATTGTAAAGATGATATTGGATAGAACATAAGTTTTTACATGTATTGTTTCAATTCAATTATTTGAAAAGATCAGTTTTTGTTTTAAGATCAAGTTTATGTTCGAGTATAAATAGTTGTTGATATTCTGACAAAGTAAATGTTAGTGATGATAGTATGATTTACAAAATCTCTTGATTATCATGCAGTTTTGTTGATTTAAAATATTTTTAAATGCGTTTGATATTGTTTAAATAAGCTGATTTTATTGAATTTCATGCAAAGAATATTAAACATAAGAAAAAACCTCAAAGATCTTTTCAAAAATAATTTCTTTTAATTGGAAAATCGTCGAAAAGTTTCTCTAATGAAAATAATCAAAAGTGAAATAATTTGTTTTCTCTTACAATAATTTTATGACAATCAATAAATACAACAAGAAAAATTTCAAATACAACTTATTACATGACATTTTTCATCAATGTCAAGAGTTTTACTAATATTGATCTAATCAAAAAATGAATAGAAGATAACTCTAATGAATATTTATTAAATTAACACTTTTTTTTTTTTTGGAAAAGAGATTGAAGAGAATTTTTGTTTTTCAAGGAAAATCAATAACAACATAAAGTATACAGAAAAAAAAGAACACAAGACATGACAATATTTAGAATCCGACATTGAGATTTAGATGTTTAAGTATTAAATTGAAGATTCCTTTTCATCGTATGGATTACGACTTCTACGTTCTCGTCGTGAACTCTAAAACAAAAACAAAAAAACAAGAGTTCAATTAATATGAAAATAGCGATTGATTAACCTTTGATGGCGATGTAATAATATTTTCATTTGATGTTTCACGTTCATTATCATCATTACATCGATGACATGTCCAACCATAATTACGTCGTTTTGGAAAAGACGATAATGGAGGAATACAACAAGCAAAATGATAATAATTTTTACATTGATCACAACTAAAAATAATTTATATATAAAATAAAATTAAAAATAAATTCTAATATACTCAGTCATTGTTTGATTTGTTCCTTGATTTGAACATTCTTTACATCGAGCATCAGATGGAATATTATTTGAAATAACTACTGTTGAACGTTTACTCTTTCGATTTGGTTTAATATCTTGTTTTTCTTCATGATCATTTTCTTTTTTTCGTTTTTTTATTTTTTTTTCATTATCATTCGTTGTTATTAATGAATGAAGTTCAATAGTACCATTGGCATTTTCATCATCATCAAAATCAAATATTGACATTGGATCTTTTGTTGTTTTACGTCTTTTCTTTTCAGGTTTTGTTATTGGAAATGATACAGCTTTTTGTTTAAAAATTGTTGGTGTTCGACGTTCAATAATTAATGATTTTGATCGAGCAGGAGTTACTGGTGAAACTAATGAAATAGAAATTAATAATTAACAGAATTATTTGTTTGTTGTTTTTTTGTTTTCTTATTTACCATTGGATTTTTTTGGTGATGATTTTGTAATTGATATTCGAGGAGACTTTGGAGTAGTAGAACTAAAGAAGATATATTTTAAAAATAAATACAAACAATTTTCAATAATTATTCTTCTTTCGAAATCATTTCGAATTAGAATTGATAATTCATAGAATTTTTTAGCAAACAGTTTTCTATTAGGAATATATACGATTGTTTATTTAGTTGATTTATATATACATATAAGCAGAAATAAAAATAACATGTGAATTGGAAAAGATCATCTGATAGACGAACTTTATCAAGTATATTTTTCAAGAGATTCTTCTCCGAAATATTCAATAGTATAAAAACCAAAAGAAAAATTTCAGACTTAACTATGATAAATATACACTTATTCATATCAATGATTCAAAACCCGAACGTCTGCAAATATTCTGATACGCGTCAATTTTGAAAGTTCAATTCAACTCTCGAATAGTCCTACGAATATTTACTCAGAAGGTAAGCGCTTTTCGTCAGCTAACAGACCTTTTATATCAGTATTGCGGTGTGGGAGCGCTAAGCGCCCACGAAAGAGTAGCAACCCATGCACGTTGTTGTGCACACACTATTCGAAGTATGTTCTGTTTAGGTCAATACATGGCGATGTTGAAACATGAAATCACAATTGAATTCAAGTTTCAAGTTATACACTATATGTAAATATTGAGAAGTAGAACAAAAATTGTCATAGATTGGAAATCTAACTCAATGATGCTATCTAAACAATACTGAACACACTGATACTATTCTATGTAATCAATAAAACAAAGAAACTTTAAAAATATGTAAACCTTTTTCTTGCTGACGAAGAAGTTCGTTTTGGTACTGGTTCTGGAGTAAAATCAGTTGTTTTTCTAGTAAATAATTGTTTAATAACTGATGTTCGACTTTTACTCGTCGTTGGTTTTTCATCATCTCGTTTTGTACTTATTGTTTCTTTTGATGGTGATGTATCAGCACTTGAATTTGTTTGTTTTGATTTAACATTTGATTCATCTGTTAATGTTTTTGTTCTTTTATTATTTGTTTTTTCTTCTTCATGAATATCATTATTATTATTGTTTGCACTTGGTTCTTGTTTTCGTTTTCTTGAACCAAACTAAGTTAATAAAAAAAAAAGCAAAGAAATGAAATATTTTTTTATTTTATTATTAATTTACTTTAATAACTGTTTCACGTAAAACAAGTTCATTTGTACGTCTTGGTCGTATTTGACGAGGTTCATCAACATTAACATTACATTGATCAAGTTCTTCTTGTTGTGCATTAACACAAGAAGCACATTGCCTTTAGAAAATAAAGAAAAAAAAAATTTTGTTAAAAAAACGAAAATCTAACATAAAATAATATTACCAATCATATTTTTTACTAGCTGATAACATAACTGATAATGTTTTAGCAGGCATTGCTGGTGTTAAACAATCACCATGAAATGCTAAATGACATTGACAACATTTTATCATTTGATTTGATCGATCAGTTTGTTTACATACTGAACAACTAAATTAAAATTTAATCATTTAGAAAAA